TGCCTTTGGGGGGACTTACTCAGAGATCCAAACTCAGGGGCATATGGCATTTTGCATGTTTGCTTTTAGATTCATTCTATTGAGTGCCATAATCTGTCCCTTTCAAATGATCCAATATGCTTAGCAGTTTACAAGTTATTCTTATACATGCAATGAAGAAAAACGCAGGCTACAAAAAGTCTGTGAATCTTTGAGATGGTTATACCTGAGAGGTCACCTAATCTAATTATCTGATTATACAGAGGAAGAAATTGAGACTCAGATATTGGAAAGACTTCCCTAAGGACATGGAGCTGCCTAGTAAGATAACTGAATTTCAAACCCAGAACTAATAACCCTCAATCCTCTTTACTTTTATTTTTTTGAGTCAGAGTCTCAGTCTGTTGCTCAGACGGGAATGCATGGTACAATCATGGCTTACCACAGCCTTGAGTTCTTGTGCTCAGTCGATCCTTCTGCCTCAGCCTCCCAAGTAGAAGGGACTACAAATGTGTGTCACCACACCTGGCTAATTTTTTGATTTTTTTTTTTTTTTTGGTAGAGACAAAGTCTCACTATGTTGCCTAGGGTAGTCTTGAACTCCCAGGCTTAAGCAAGTGTCTCACTTAGCCCCCCAAGTACTAGGATTACAGGCATGAGCCACTGTGCCCACCTAATCCTTTGTACTTTTCTTTACATCATAGTGCATACTTTCATTTTTCAGAGGGTGGGGGAGCTGGAGAAGGAAAAATTATAACTGCAAAAATAAACCATTTTATTGTTTATCACCCCTGGTCAAAAGGTACCAATGCAGGTTAGATATATCCCTATCCTTCTCTGCTGATTCCCTACAAGAGGTAACTGTGAAACACTCCTGTCTTCTTCTTTTTCTTCTTCTTCTTCTTATTTTGAGTCATAGTCTCACTCTGATGCCCAGCCTGGAGTGCAGTGAGTGTGCTAAGCTCAGGAGATCCTTCCACCTCAGCCTTCCAAGTAGCTGGAACAACCAGTGCATGCCAACATGCCCAGCTGATTCTTTTGATTTATTGTAGAGATGAGGTCTTGCAAAGTTGCCCAGCCAGGCCTCGAATCCCTGGGCTCAGGCAAGCCTCTTGCCTCTGCCTCCCAAAATGCTGAGATTACAGGTGTGAACCATTGCACCAAGGCTTTTTTTTTTTTTTTAAAGACTACACTGTATCCACTGCAGAAACTCTTGCAACCTACCCACAGCCTGCCATTACAGAAACAAGGAATAAGCTTTGGGCAAGAATTTAGTCACCTGGCCCAAAGCTTTTTCCTTTACTACAGAAAAAAAAACCCCCCAAACTAGGGGAAGAAGCAGGTACTTTATACAAGTAGACTGGCAAGAAACCTAGGTTGCTAATGTACTGACACTATTATCTGTGGCTAATGTAAATCATTTAAATAAACCATATTTGAATAATTTAGCTCTGAGAAGTTACAAGCTATAGTACTGCATAAATTATGGAAGTATGTTATAACTCTATTATAATGCTTTCAGGCTGTGAGGTCACATTACCAGAGAAAGTGTGCCATAATGAAGGCCACCTGGTATTTTCTACAGGCAAGAAATGTTGGTGAGTGCAGTCTATGGGAGAACTGCCTCTCAAGGAATCTTATGTTATAGCACATCACATGGCAATACACACACACAAATATTGTAACATTATTGTGCTTTACCAAAATAAAGAGTTTATAAAAATTTAAAGTCAGGCACAGATAAATACTGCATTATTCATGTGGAAACAAAAAAAGGTGTTTTTTTATTTTTTTTGAGTTGAAGTCTCACTCTGTCACCCAGACTGGAGTGCAGTAGCACATTCCCAGCCACTGCAGCCTCAACCTGCTGGGCTCTGGCGATCCTTCCACCTTAGCCTTCCAAGTAACCGGAACTATAAGCGTGCACTACTATACCTGACTAACTTTTGATTTATTGTGGAGACAAGGTCTCGCCAAGTTGCCCAGGTGGGTCTCAAACCTGCGGGCTCAGGCAATCCACTCACCTCGGCCTCCCAAAGTGCTGGGATTACAGGCTGAGCCACCGAGCCCGGCCCAAAAAAAGTTTCTGAGTTTACCGAAGTAGAGAGTGGAACAGTAGGTATTAGAGGCTGGGCAGGGTAGTAGGGAAAGACGGGGAGGGGTTGGTTAACATATAAAGTTACAGATAAATAGGAGTGAGTTCTGATGTTTTGCAGCACTGTAGGGTAAATATGGTTGTCTATATTTCATTGAATATTTTCTTTTTTTTTTGAGTTGGAGTCTCGCTCTGTCACCCAGGCTAGAGTACAGAGGCATGCTCACGGTCACCCAGCCTCAACCTGCTGGGCTCAGGCAATCCTTCCACCTCAGCCTTCCAAGTAGCTTGAACTACAGACACATGCCACCATACCTGGCTATTTTTTTATTTATTGTAGTGACGGAGTCTCACCAAGTTGCCCAGGCTGTTTCGAACCCCTGGGCTCAAAAGTACTGAGATTATAGGCTTGAGCCACCACACTCGGCCCAAAAATTTTCAAAAAGCTAAAAGAAAGGATATGAATGTTTACAACACAAGGAAATGACAGGCCAGGTGGGTTCAAGAACAGCTTGGGCAACTTGGCAAGACCTCATCTCTACAATAAATCAAAAAATTAGCTGGGTGTGGTAGTGTGTGCCTATAGTTCCGGCTACTTGGAAGGCTGAGGCAGAAGGATCACCTGAGCCTAGCAGGTCGATGCTAGGGTGGCCACGAGCATGCTACTGCATTCCAGCCTGGGAGGTGGAGTGAGATTCCACCTCAAAAAAAAAAATGACAAATATTTTAAATGATGAATATGTTAATTACCCTAATCTGATCATTCTACACAGGTATATCAAAATATCACTCTGTATTCACTAAATATGTATAACTATTATAAAACAACTAAAAATAAAAGGGGAAAAAAGATTTTCTCAAAATGAGAAAAAGGAGACAAATTCACACTTACTATCTACCACCCCAAGCACTGCTATGTACTTTTCATATATTACCTAATTTAATTCTCACAACTCCATAAAATATCATCATCTTGTTTTTATAGACCAGGAAACTGAGACTCTAGATTAGATTACACAGTTTATAAAATACAGACTCGGGACTTGAACCCAAGAGTGTCTGATTCTAAAGCCACTAGGCTTTTCTTCATGCCATGTTGCTGTCACTCACAAAAAGAGTAAAACCTGTTTTTCTTAGCCTTCCAACAATTTGCTTAGCACTTCTCATCACTACTCACTACCTGTCCATGGTGTATCTAAAATTATGCTGGGTTTGATTCATGTGTCCACTCACCCATCCACTAAATAGATATTAGGCACCTGTTACGTTCTAGGTGTTATGCTAGGTACTAGCATTTCATTGGTGAGTGAGAAAGAGGTTCTCAAGTCCTTGGACATGGAGGAGTCAGTAATTAAACAGTCACACAAATAAATGTAAATTTACAACTGTATTAACTGGGTTATGACGGATTAATAGTTAGGAGTTCTGGGTATGAAACATAACATGCTACTACTATAAAATCTAATGGAGATTTCTCAGTCTGAAGGGTCAAGGAAGATTTCTCTGAGGAAATGGTGACTGAGAAGAAATCTGAAAAATAAGTAAAGTTACTTAGGTGAAGAAGATTGATGTATACTGAAGGAATGATATGTGCCAAGTTTTCATTCATAAAATGGAAGAAATAATACATTTCTTGGCAAACTTGTTTCTAGATTTAGAGATGAAATGGTGGTACGTGACTCATAAGAACCTAGAAAATGATGGCAAATATGGTTTTAATAATACTATAATATAGGCCAGGCACAGTGGCTCAATCCTGTAATCACAGTACTTTGGGAGACTGAGGTGGAAGGATCACTTCAGCCTAGGAGTTTAAGACTACCTGCGCAACATAGTGGGACCTTATCTCTACAAAAAATTACCTGGGTATAGTGGCATGTGCCTGCAGGCCTAGCTACTTGGGAGGCTGAGGTGGGAGGACTGCTTGATCCCAGGTTACAGTGAGCTATGATCACACCACTGCACAGCAGCCTGGGTGACAGTGAGACTCTGTTTCTATATAAAAAAAAAAGAACTGTAAGAGAAAACAGGAAATATATTCAAACAGATAACCTTGCATAGCTAAGATGGGAACATTTTAGTTACTGGTGAGCCCTATGAGCAAGTGAAAAGCATCAGATAGCAAAGTTTAGTCTTTCTAGTTATTTTGAAATAAGTATAATTTTTTATAGACTTTTACAACAACTAATATAGATACATAACTATTCTATAAATGTTTAAAACAGAAAAATGTATTCTTACTTTATATTATGGCTAATTTTATAAAGAGAGAGAGACAAAATAAGAAAAAAGGGAAAAAGTAAAGAATACAAAGAGCAACTAAAGGGCAAAAAGAATACCGGACAAGAAAAGGCCAAAGAGACCAGAAAGACAGAGAGAAAAGAGGTAATCGGACAGGAGCTGTGACAGAGAGAATCTAGCTCAATTTCCTCAATCTCTCCATAGGCCTACCTTCAACATTTCTATTTGAACGTCCAAACTGAAGCACTCTAAGCCTCTCCCACTCAGCCAAGCTACTCTTCCTTTGCTGGGCTGTGCCACTGCCATCATCTCTTGCCCAGTGTGCTTTCCCTCCTGGGAGTCCCCTAACCAGCACGTGATAGTAGACCTGGTGTGGCCATACAGTCTCTGGGCCACTTGCTCTCAGTTATTTACAAAAACAAAACATAGCAAACACATCTAGACTTGCATCTGCAAAAATAAGAAGGACACCTGGTGACAGAAATGAAGAAGTATGTTTAGGGAATATTTGGACCTTCTCTGGGAATGCTTTTTAGGAAGTGCCTTTGAAATAATCATATTAAGAGATGAGCAGAGTGATAGATGAAACTTAAGGAAATATGACAAAGGCTAAATGAAATTAAACCAAGGGAAAAACCCAGACTCAGATATGATTAATCCCAATTTATTTAGTATCTCTTCTTACCGTGTGCTGAGGGCCATCTTCATTATCCCTCATGTAGAAAGGCTTTAGTGCTAATGGATAATTAATGACGAAGACTGGTATGTTGCCACAGTGCTTCACCAGGTACTTTTCATGTTCAGTTTGTAGATCAACACCCCACTGTAATGAGAAAAAAGAAAAGACCAAATGAGAAGCCACAGCGGAAATATACAGTTAGGCTGAGGTGAATGGATTGCCTGAGCCCATGGGTTCGTGACCCGCCTGGGCAACTTGGCGAGAACGCATCTCTACAATAAATCAAAAAATTAGCCGAGTATGGTAGCATGCGCCTGTAGTTCCAGCTACTTGGAAGGCTGAGGTGGAAGGATCACCAGAGCCCAGCAGGTCAAGGCTGCGGTGGCCAGAAGTGGCCACTGCACTCCAGTCTGGACGACAGAGTGAGACTCCAACTCAAAAAAAAAAAAAGATATATACGATTAACCACCTGAAAATAACATGTCCTAAGGGCTTTCTCGTCCTGAGTTTCAATATTTGGAATATTGAAATTGGCTAATGGAGCTGTCTGCTGAGGTTACACAGCTGGCTAAACTATTTAGAAAGAGATATTTGTTAATAAGACCAGCCAAAAGCCTAGAAAGATGAAAGCTGAAGCCAGTAGATAAACATTAGGCTTTCTGTCCCCCATCTCAAGGACCAGCATTCAGCAGATGAACAGCACCTGCAGGAAAACAAAATACACTTTCCAAGGGGATAAACCCTGACTTCAGAATCACAGTTTTTATTAATATTGCCTAGAGCTTCTTCCGCAGTCACTGTTCCTAAATCTCAGGAAATTAAATGACGGAAGATAATATTCCTAATATTGAGTTTATCTTTGGCTAGACAGCTACTCGCGGTGAATTTGGGTTTTTTTTGAGATGGAGTCTCACTCTGTCACCCAGGCTGGAATACAGAGGCACACTCATGGCCACTGCAGCTGGCTCAGGCAATTCTTCTGCCTCAGCCTTCCAAGTAGCTGGAACTATGGGTGTGTGCTACCACACCCGGCTAATTTTTTTATTATTGTGGAGACGAGGTCTCACCAAGTTGCCCAGGCTGGTCTAGAATCTCTGGGCTCAGGCAATTCTCTCGCCTTGCCTTCCAAAGTGCTGGGATTACAGGCTGAGCCACCGTGACTGGCCGAATTTGTTTATTTAAATAAAAGAGACAACTCACATATCAGATGCTCTTTGATGAAAACTGTTCAGTCTATCTATTCAGCAAATACTAAATCCAGGTACCATGCTAGGTACTGGTTTAGTGGTAAGAAAAATAGTATAATCTCTTGACTTCATGAGGCTTCCAGGAGACAAACATTAAACTAAAAATTACAGAAAAAAATTAACTTCTGACTTAACTGGGAATTGAACTGTTGGAAGGGATAGTTTGAGGACAAAGGTATTACTTTTTTTTTTGAGTTGGAGTCTCACTCTGTTGCCCAGACTGGAGTGCAGTGGCCGCTCCCGGCCACCACAGCCTCGACCTGTGGTGATCCTTCCACCTCAGCCTTCCAAGTAGCTGGAATTACAGGCATGCGCTACCACGCCTGGCTGATTTTTTGATTTATTGTAGAGATGAGGTCTCGCTGCACAGGCGGGTCTCGAACCCGCGGGCTCAGGCAATCCACTCACCTCGGCCTCCCAAAGGCGCGGGATTACAGGCTGAGCCACCGAGCCCGGCTAGGTATTACATTTTTAATGCATTATTTTACTACTCCCACTTATCTGGCAATATCTTAATTATAGGAAAAGGGGCAGGATTCAGTGGCTCACTCCTGTAATGCCACCACTCTGGGAGGCCCAGGAAGGAGGATTGCTTGAGGCCAGGAGTTCAAGACTAGTGTGGGTAACAAAGGAGAACCTATTTCTAAAAAATAAATAAATAAATAAAATTTTTAATTAAAAAAGGAATAAAGGACTGGAATAGGAATGAGGAGACTTGTCTCTAACATATGCATGCCCATGGATAAACCACGTGGCCTCTCTACATCTATATCCTTGCCAATAAAATAAAGGAGTCCTTCACAGAAAGGGAAATTATATGTACAGTGGTCGTCAGGAGTTAGAGAGTAGGAGAAATAAGGAGACACTGATCAAAGGGTATAAACTTTCAGTTCTAAGATGAACAAGTTCTGGGAATCTAAGATGTAGTGTGGGTGATGACAGATGTGTTAATTAATTTGATTGTGATAATCATTTCACAATGTATACTTTTATCAAATCATCACGTTGTATACCTTGAATATATATAATCTTCATCAATTAAATAGTTTAAAATTTTTAAAAATGAATTTTTGGCTGGGTACAGTGGCACACATGTGTAGACCCAACTACACAGGCAGCTGAGGTAAGAGGATTATTTGAGCCTAGGAGTTTGAGACCTGGACATAGTGAGACCCTATTATTATTATTATTATTATCATTATTATTTTGAGTCAGAGTCTCACTCTGTCACCCAAGCTGGAGTGCAGTGGCACGCTCACGGCCACCGTAGCCTCGACCTGCTGGGCTCAGGTGATCCTTTGCCTCAGCCTTCCAAGTAGCTGGAACCACAGGCATGCACCACCAGTTGCCTAGGCTGGTCTTGAACCCTTGGACTCAATCCTCTCGCCTCAACCTCCCAAAGTACTGGGATTATAGGCTTGAGCCACTGTGGCCAGTGAGAACCCATTCTTTAGAGAAAAAAAATTCAGTGTTTTCCCACAGTGACTCACAAATTAGAAGGTTCTATGAAGTTCAACTGAAATAAAAACCTGTTTAGTTTAATATGTTACCTAAAGCTATTTGACTGCATAACCTCTTTTGTTTGTCATCTTTTAACATCATTCAGAACATACTTTGGGAAACATCGAACTATTACTAGTTGATTTCTACAGTAATATTCTATGATTAACATTCTTTTTTAGAATTTTCATCTTTATAATACTTTAGTCACTACTATTCCAAATGATACAGTTCTATTTCAAAATTAATTAAGGTTGAGCAAACATCAAAGTCTGTGTTCAGATGAGCAAATACCATATTTTGCTAATAAAGGAAAATTATTTTGAAGGATTTTTAATGAAGTCAGCTAAGGACAAGAGAGAAAACATTTTCACATACACACAAAAATACTACCTCTGGGGTGAAGGTGAAGTTGTAGGATGCGTGCTTTAAGATCTCTACCGCTTCGGTATAAGACATGCTACAGGGAAAAAGCAGAGAAAGGTCAATACAATAGGGCTGCTGTTGACTAGTTCATCTTAAAACTAGAAAAGCCTATTTCTATACAGTTTGTGAGATCATAAGGGAGTACTGAGTAATCAGGAATTGAGGCTACTCTAATCCTATGAAAGTCTTATCTGCATGAAGAGAAGTGGCCATTCAATAACCCCACTCCTGATCTACTTGCAATGTACACATAGGAGTTAGTCACTTAAGTAAGTGGAGATTTTCTCTGAATCCATGATATGCCTATTAAAAGGCATGAAACACTGAGGCGGAAAGAGCAAAAGGTTTTCCCTAAAAGTCATCTTGCATTCATTCATGTATTTATCCATCAAACATATATTTGGTACTTTCTAGACACAATTCTAGGCACTGGAGATAAAGTAAACAAAAATAAAGCCCCAATATTCCTCTGTGTGTGTGTGGGGAGGGAGATATGGGGAGTGAGGGAGAGAGTACATAGATAAACAAATAAGCAGGTAGTATTATTAGAGCTATGAAGAAAAATAAAGCAGGGTAAGAAGAGAGAGGATGCTTGGGGGTGCCATTTTAGATAAGATGTCAAGAAAAGCCTTACTGAGTTGATAACATTTGAACAAAAACCTGCATCAAGTAAGGAAACAAACCATGTAAGTATCTTGGGAGGAGTATTCCAGGCAAAAGGAACAGCAAGTACAAGGGCCTGAAGTGAGAACAGTTTGGCTTGTTCAAGGAATCGAAAGGTCAGTATGACTGGAGCATACTGAACAAGGGAAGAATGCCAGGAAATTACATAGGAAAGGCACTCAGAAGTCAGAGCCTATGGACTCTCTTTTAGGCTGTGTGGAAGGGCTTGGTAATTCTAAGCATCACAAGACTGTTTAGGAAAAGTATCATTGGTTCTCTCAATAAGACACCCTCATGCTGTCAGTCAAACCAAAGATTTGTTTTAATTTTGCTGTGTGAATAGGTAGCAATATCCACATTTAAAAAAACTGTCAGAATCTGAGCAGGAAAAAAAAAAAAAAAAGCCAAGATGTATAAAAAGAGTACACCCCTCCCTACCATTCCTGTCCCAGATGGAAGGGAGATTTGGGATGCTAAGTTACTTGGTATGCTCTACCAAACACATTGAGAAATATAAGAGCAGTCAAAATATGAAGTAGTAGGATTCTGTAGCATTGGCAAGTTACTCAGTTACTTTCCTGTCACATAATCATGTTATTGGTTTCTTGAGTATTCTTCTGGAGGATTTTAAAAAATGTTTAAATGTATAAATATACATATTTATATAAGCATTAACATAATCTCCCTTCATTTTTCAATAGATGTCAGCCACAGTATACATACCATACACATTCTTATTTTACTCAATAATATATCCTGTAGACCTTTCTATGAGTATATAAAGAGCTTAATTTTTTAATATTACATAATATTCCATTTTGTGGATGTATCATAATTAATTTAACTGGTGATCACTGATCGGCATTTCATATTTTCAAATATTTTGCTATTACAAATCATGCCTACATATACATATTTAATGCTATTACAAATAATTCTTTTTTTTTATTTAGTTGGAGTCTGCAGTAGCATGTTCACGGTCACCCCAGTGTTGATCTGCTGAGCTCAGGAGATCCTTCTGCCTCAGCCTGCCAAGTAGCTGGAAATACAGGCACGTGCTAACATGTTCAGCTAATTTTTTGATTTATTGTAGAGATGAGGTTTTGCCAAGTTGCCCAGGCTGTTCTCAAACCCATGGGCTCAGGCAATCCCCTCACCTCAGCCTCCCAAAGTGCTGGGATTACAGGCTTGAGCCACCGTACCCAGCCTACAAATAATTCTTATACATTAATTTTGCATATGGAAAAAGTGATTGCCCCCTTATACAGGCGTATACCAAAGATACTGCCCCCTTATAAAGGCATATACCAATTTATGTCCACTTGCGACAAATGAAAACGTCAGCTCTCTTGCAAACTGAAGGGAAAATACTGCAGCAACACTTTGGATGATTAAAAAAAAAAATCTATGAATTTTCTAAAGGACTTTGAACTCAAAAAATAACTTAGCACTAATTTATTCTCTTAAGCAAAAATGAAGTTCATACCTATAATAACTAACTAGGAAGAGTTGTGTTGTGTCTTACAGTACAAGTAGATCTCCCAAAGCTATGATTTAAATGATTTTTTCCCCAAGATGAAGATTGCATTCAAATTAAAATCTAGCATTATATAATAGGTAATTTTTAAGGTAATTATGATGGTTGGTAGTCGTGCTGTTGGTAGTAGTAGTAATTTTAAACAATAATAATTTTAGTTTAGGGAAACTATAGTTTAGGGAGCATCAGTAACTTTTCAAAGATTACTCATATAAGGTAAGTAGTAAACCCTGATCTGCTGACTCCAGAATCTAAGTTTTTAACAGTTAAGATAATGTCTAAAGAATACATGAAGTTTCATGTGTTTAATCAAAACAAAAGATAATGGGTGCTGGGTTCTTCCTTTGACTCTACCACTTACTAGCTATGTAAGTCACTTCAACTTAGTGAAAGCATGTTATTAAATGTAATGTGTTATACAAATATTGAAAAAGCATTTGTACTTGTAAAATAAGGAGATTGGATTATCTTGTCTAAAGTTCTTTTCTGCTGAGACATTCTATTGTTCAACTGTATCAACTACTTGGTATGCTTTATACTCTATATTTCACTGAGAAATATAAGAAAAGTCAAAATAGGAAGCAGTAAGATTTTGTACGTTGGTAAGTTATGGTTTCATTATTAAGAAGAATGACTCTCACATCTAAATATCTTGTTCTTCCAGATCTTCCATTCCACTCCCCTGCTCACCTAAATTTGAGGCAGAACTTTCAAGTTCAAATTACAGTTCTGACACTGGGTATCCTTAATGGCTTTCATCAATTCTTTCAACTAAATATTTTTCTTAATATGACTAAAGAATAATATTTCTTCTCCTTTCTAGAAACTACTTCCAAAGTGCTTTGAGAAGAGAAAAAGACATCGTGATACCGCATGACACAGAATCAAACTATCTTCATAGTTCAAACTTTTCAATGTTGAATAAAGAAAATTCATTATTCTGAAGCTGTGAGTAAAACTGCTAAGCTAAAGAGATCATTATTGTCATTCTTTGCCTCAGATTCACACAGACAAATGAAGAGCAAATAAAAAAGGTAAGTATTCTATATTTTCAAAACCTTAATACTATAAAGGAAATGTAATATAATGGAATTCTATTTTTGCTTAATAAAGGCTAACTTCAATTATTACACAAGTTTCTTAAATAGCATATTTTCACATAAAACAATTATAACAAGTACTGAAGAACACACTTATCAAATCTACTGATTCAAAAGAATACGAGTCATGGTATCTCTACGTGGACTCAATAATTAATAATGTAGTCTGCATAAAGGACAAGAGTTTTTTTGTTTTGCTGTCTTCCTGTTTTTTTCTTTCTGCTTTACTTTTAGGATTAACTCAAAGATAGATTCAGCTACACCTATATTTTCAGGAATTTCAGAGTCCATGTTTTGAAGAGCATGAAGCAGCAGAAGGGGGATGACGAGGTGTTAGAGAGGGCACTGCCACACAAACTACAACTCAACTTGCTACCTCCAATGATATTAATTTAATTATCACCACCACCACCATCCCTCTATGCTCTTATTGGTTACGCTTAACATTTTAACATGTATGTCTGGCTGAACAAGTCTAAAGTTAGTCAGTATCTCTCCTTTCCTTTCCAACAACACAGGGACTAATACGCTTCAATTAAGAACATCCCTCTCCAGTTTTATGTTATTGCTGCCCAGTATTTTATTTCTAAGGTAACAGTTATTTTCTTTCAATAATGTGAAGATATTATTTTATCATTCTCTTCTCTTGTGTTTCAGAGTTTGGACTATGAGATTACCTTCAGTGGAGTTTGTTTTTGAGAATATCATGCCACCAGAATTGAAGGTGTAAACCTCAAGATTAGTTTTGTATTTGCTTCTACAAGTACTCCAGAGTTAAATCACCAACCCAAGACAACTTTTTATTTTAATGTCCTGGCATGAGAATTCTTGACTACACAGGAAATATAAATTTAAACTCCGGGCTCACTTAAAAGCAGACTGTGGCTGCAAATTCTCAATGAAAACTATTTTTTGTAAACTCCCTATGTTGACTAGCTGAATTTTCTGCTTGTTTGCATGTTTTCTCAGGCTGGTCTCGAATCCCTGGGCTCAGGGAGTCCTCTTGCCTCCGCCTCCCAAAGTGCTGGTATTATAGGCGTGAGCCACCACACCTGGCATGTTTGCATGTTTTCTAATTGGCCCCTTCATTAAGGGTATTGTCTTTGGACAGTGCTAGTTTTCTTTATATGTGTATATGTGTGTATATTTCGGGGGATATCTCAAATCTAATTTATTATGCTTCAGTCTCATGTCCTTTCATGGATGTTAAAATCTCTGGTTTCAGACTGGAAAATTGCCCTTCATCTTCCCTAGCCTCCACCCTGAGAATCCTCAGCATCATGTCAATTATGCATACTACACTGGTCTTTGGTTCCTTTCTTCATTTCTAGCATCTGGAACTTCTCTTTCTAGCAAACTCAACAAAGCATTTAAAGGATTTTATAATATAGTAACTATCATTTTTAGATGTTTTGTATTCTGTAGCAAGAGTTGCTCAAAATAGTATGGTCATTTGATCCATTCAACAACATAAGATAGCTAGTTGGGTTTTGTGAGTGGGCTATGCTGTTGGCTGCTATCTCTGATTGAGCACCACTGCTGGCAGGAACATAGAGCTACCATCAAGATTATGTACTGGTTGCTGTAATTCCTGTCCCCTTTTCTGTTCCTTCCTGACCCCAGGGAGTCTAGCCTTGACTTTGCTCCCAGGGTTCCCCATGAATGAGACAGGAATGCGCCTCCTGGGAAGCATCTCAGAATACTGTGGAAGCTGAATAGCTGTCTCCAGCTCTCTCTTTTCCCACTGTAGAAACCATGGGCCCAGAGGAATCCTCTCTGTGTGGCACTGTGCCAACCTGGAGGAGAAGGAATGCAGTCAAAGTAAGGGCATCCTTTCTTACTCCTCTAATGCAGTTTCTTCTGTTGTCCATGCCAGTATCTCAGTTTCATTCCCAGATTTCAAGATTTTCACAAAGGCATTCTTGTCTGTGGATACTTGGACTTCCCATGGAGGGGAATGAAGTCCGGGACCTTCTACTTACCATCTTGCTGACGTCCATCTCCCCATACTTTATTTTATTTTATTTTTTTAGTTGGAGTCTCACTCTGTCACCCAGACTGGAGTACAGTGACCGCTCCCGGCCACCGCAGCCCCGACCTGCTGGGCTCCGGCGATCCTTCTGCCTCAGCTTTCCGAGTAGCCGGAATTACAGGCGTGCGCTACCATGTCCAGCTGATTTTTTGATTTATTGTAGAGATGAGGTCTTGCTGCCCAGGCGGGTCTCGAACCCGCGGGCTCAGGCAATCCACTCACCTCAGCCTCCCAAAGGCACGGGATTACAGGTTGAGCCACTGAGCCCGGCCCCATACTTTATTTTTAAACCATAAATAATTTGTATTATGCAGAATGAATCATAATGATGACAATAACTGAAATGGCATAGCCCATGAGGTCATCTCCCGATCTTAATATTTTACAGACAAGGATTCCAAAGTACGAGAGCTAAGTGATAGGTAAGGGTCATAAGGATGGTGGGGGAACTACAGCTACTCTACCTTTAATTCCAGTACCCTTTCAAATATGTCAAGTGGTTAACAGCATCAGCTTTGAAATCAGATGAACAGGAGCCTGAATTTCCATTTCATCTTTTACTTGTTTAATCTCTTTGTACTGATTCTCCACTATAGAATGGAAATAAAAACTACTCAGAGTTGTTGTAAAGTTAAAATGCACTACGAATGTATGTAAAGTTTATCACTGTTTGGCTTATCATAAATGTTCAATGAAAGGTGGACAGTATTTTTCCTATCTTGGACCTTATTTATTAGATAGGAGTTGGAGAACTAGGATCTTCTCCCTGGTTTTGTCACCCTCACAGATTCCTTGGGAGAACCAAATTACTTCTTTCCTCTTCTACATAATTACTACTTTTTCAGACAAAACTGGACTCTACTTTTTTCAATATGTTCATATCCAGAAGAACTCCCTTGTAAACTCCAGATCCATATTTTCAACTGCCTACCCAACATTTTCAGATACTGGATATCTGAAAATGATCTAATCTTAACATGTCTTGATTCCTGATACCACCCCCTCTCCCCCAATGCCCCTGCTCTGCTACTCTTATAGCTTTTCCAATTTCAATGAATGGCAACACAGTTTTGCAACTTATGGAAAAAAAGGCTTGACTTCATTCTCTCTCTCTCTCTTTCCCACCCTCAGCGATTCTTGTTTGCTCTACTTCTAAAATATATCTGGAATAGGACACATTCTCTCACCACCATCCTGGTCTGTGATTGTTAATTTTATGTGTCAATTTGGCTGGGCCATGGAGCTGAGATATTTAGTAAAATATTCTGAATGCTTCTTCAAAGGTGTTTTTTGGATAAGATCAATGTTTTAATCAGTGGATTTTGAATAAAGCATAATAGATGATGTGGGTGAACACCATCTAATTAGTTGGCGGCTTTACAAGAACAAGGACTAACCTCCTCCTGAGAAAAAGGGAATTCTTTATTTTTAAAATTTTTTTTTGAGTTGGAGTCTCACTGTCGCCCAGACTGGAGTGCAATGGTCGCTCCCAGCTACCGCAGCCTCAACCTGCTGGGCTCTAGTGATCCTTCTGCCTCAGCCTTCCAAGTAGCTGGAACTACAGGTGCGCGCTACCACGCCTGGCTGATTTTTTTGGTTTATTGTAGAGATGAGGTCTCGCCAAGTTGCCCAGGTGGGTCTCGAACCCGTGGGCTCAGGCAATCCACTCACCTCAGCCTCCCAAGGCGCGGGATTACAGGCTGAACCACTGAGCCCGGTAAAGGGAATTCTTTAAGAAGACTACCTTTGGGCTGGAACCGCAAGTCTTCTCTGAGTCTCCATCCTGCTGACCTGCCCCATCAGATTTCAAACTCACCAAGTTTCCATGATCATGAGAGTCAACTCAAAAATAAACTTCCAAACACACCCTGGTAGCTATGTTACTCAGAAGAACCTTGAGTAATTCATGGTTCAAATCACCATTATCTTTCTATAATCTATACTGTGTATATTTTTGAAAGTTTGTCTCTTAAGCCAAATTTTGATTACTAAAGGTAGTATAATGGTTAATAATTACTACGTTCATTTATTTTTCTATGATTTGTTAATTTATTTATTTAGAAATACTGATTATCAATTTTTAACTAGAGAGACACAAGAGCTATAAAAATATTATAACATGGGTCTTGCTTCGAGTCTGGGGAATGTGGTAAGCAGCTAAATAAACAAAAATTAAAATACAGTGTGATAAATGCAATTATATAATGAATAAAGTTCAGAGAAAGTACAATATCTACTTACATTACAAAGCTGTTTTTTAGCATATGTTCTAATCTGTCCTTGATAAGAAAAGACAAAAAAGAAAAATTTTAAAATGTAATTATATATACTATATGTAATTAACATATTTTAAGAGTAGCTGTATTGAGCTTTATTCACAAAACTACTTACCTTTTGGCCAGGAGCTATGAATTTGTGACACAGTTCAACATCCTCAGGACAATTTGAGAGAATCATCATTGTTGTAGTCTTGAAGAGCTCCTCCAAAACCTAAAAGAAATAACAGAGAATCCCCTGACAAGAAAGCAACTTTGTATGAAAAACCTATTCAGAGCTCTATAAAGACTGCCTTACAGGTTTCAGCAACTGTAACTCCATTAGGTCTCTCTTTTTCTCTCATTTTTTTGTGTGTGTGTTTTGAGATAGGATCTTGCTCTGTCACCCAGGTTAGAGTGCAGTGGTACAATCATAGCTCACTGAAGCCTCCAATTTCTGACCTCAAGTAGCTGCCTCCTGAGTAGCTGGGACTATAGATGCATACTACCCCGCCTAATTTTTTATTTTTTGTAGAGACAGGGTCTCACTATGTTGCCCAGGCTGGTCTTGAACTCCTGGGCTCAAGCAAGCCTCCTGCTTTGGCCTCTCAAAGTGATGGGATTACAGGAATGAGCCACTGTGCCCGGCCCCTAATACTACATCTCTGAATGTATTACAGCTAATAATTTCAGTATTCCAGGCATCTAAATTTCTTCGGGGTGGGGAGGGGAGGGGAGAGGAGAGAGCTAAGAGGGAAGAAAAAAAGTCTGAATCTTACATTAACAGTGTCAATACTAGTATAGAAGTGAGATGTCAAATGAACAGCTGTAACATATTAATATCTCTCTAAATTTCAATAAACTCACTTGTAGAATCAGTACAATAAGTACCTAACTTATTGGATTATTGAGTGAAATAAATGAGACAATCTACTTATCAGAGTTAGCTTAGCACTTGGTTCAGAGAGGTATATTAGTTGTTGTGAAGAATAAGAACACTATGAGGCCGGGCTCGGTGGCTTAGCCTATAATCCCAGCACTTTGGGAGGCTGAGGCAAGTGGATTGCCTGAGCCTGCGGGTTCAAAACCTGCCCAGGCAACTTGGCGAGACCTCGTCCGTACAATAAATCAAAAATTAGCCGGGAGTGGTAGCTTGCGCCTACAGTTCCGGCTTCTTGAAAGGCGGAGATGGAAGGATTGTTGGAGACCAGCAGGTTGAGGCTGCGGTGGCCGGGAGCGTGCCACTGCACTCCAGTCTGGGTGACAGAGTGAGACTCCAACTTAAAAAAAAAAAAGAAGAAGAAGAACATTGTAAAAAGTGGCTCATTCAATCACTGGTAAATGAGAGCAAACTTTAAAATACAAGGAAAAAATAAGATATATCTAGATCTAAATCAATCAATCTATCTATCCATTTGCTTTGCTAAAATGTAAAGTAAAAATAACATGGATCAGCGTACAACATAAATCAGTATAAAACAGGTCATTCTGATTCTGGTCGGCATGCTGAATCACGCCCATAATCCCAGCACTTTGGAGGTCGAGGAGGTAGATTGCTTGAGCCCGGGAGTTCAACACCTGCCTGGGCAACATAGTGAGACCTCATCTCTACAATCAAAAATCAGCTAGGCATGGTGGTGTGTGCCTATAGTCCCAGCTGTTTGGGAGGCTAGGGCAGAAGGAATGCCTGAGCCCAGGAGGCTGAGGCTGCAGTGAACCATGATCATCATGCTACTACACTCCTGCCTGGGCAGCAGAGTGAGATGCCTACTCAAAAAAAAAACAAAAAAAACAAAAAAAAAGTCATTCTACCAGAGGTACCCATAGAAACTTCATGGGATAAACTTGTTCTTAGAAGAAAAAGATGGCTGAACATAGTAGCTCAAGCCTATAATCCCAGCACTTTGGGAGGCCGAGGTGAGAGCATTGCTTGAGCCAACGGGTTCGAAACCAGCCTGGACAACTTGGCGAGACCTCATCTCTACAATAAACAAAAAAATTAGCTGGGCGTGGTGGCACATGCCTGTAGTTCCAGCCACCTGGAAGGCTGAGGGAGAAGGACTGCCTGAGCCCAGCAGGTTGAGGCTGCAGTGGCTGTGAGTGTGCCACTGCACTCCAGTTTGGGCAACAGAGTGAGACTTTGACTAAAAAAAAAAAAAAAAAAAGTGGCTAGAATGGAAAATATTTCCAAAATATGTTTAATCACAACTAAAAATTTTGCTTTTCAAGCAATGAGACCATATTAGGTCCTCCAAGAGTTACACTCACAAAAATACACACATTTATAAAGTACAGGTTGCCTCAAGGGCAAGTATCTTCTTTCCTCTGTTTTATCACTGGTACACCTTTTTCAGGCTGGAAACACAGTGGCGCATAACTATCTATGAAGTAATTTACCAGATATAGGAAAACACAACTACCAAGTGACAACCAGATCTGTTTCACTTGTGGCATTCATTATAGATGTCTGCTAAATTACACTGCATTCGATTTATTTTCTTACCTTCTATTACCATGGTCATTTATCCTTCCAACCAATATGTATATCTAATATAGCAAAAGAAATTGGTGAGTGTGTGGGCATCTAAGGCACTGACAGTGTAATATAGTAATGACAACTAATTTCGGGGGTGGGAAAACAAGTTAGAATCAAAGGACTAGACAATAATAATGATACAACTGAAGGAAATAAGCAGAACTTTCTAAGGACCTTATATCCCAAGGTGAGGAAAGATGCTTAACTTTAGACTTCATGTAAAAAATATCGGGTAAACCATTAAAATAATAGAAACAGAGTCAGGTATGGTGGCTCAGGCCTATAATCTCAGCACTTTGGGAGGCAGAGGCAAGAGGATTGCCTGAGTCTGCAGGTTTGAGACCAGCCTGGACAACATTGTGAGAACTCATCTCTACAATAAATCAAAAATTGGCTGGGCATGATGGCATACACCTGTAGTTTCAACTACTTGGAAGGCTGAGGTGGCAGGATCGTCTAAGCCCAGCAGGTTGAGGCTGCAGTGGCTGTGAGCAATGTGCCATTGTACTCCAGCCTGGGCGACAGTGTGAGACTCCAACTCAAAAATAAAATAAAATAAAGTAACATAACATAAAATAAAAGAAACATAATTGCACTCCAGCCTGGGCCACAGTGTGAGACTCCAACTCAAAAATAAAATAAAATAAAGTAACATAACATAAAATAAAAGAAACAGAATGTATAAATTCTAAACCAGTGAAGGGAAAAAAGATAAGAAAAATAAAGAAAACCAGACAAATCCAATGGAGAGGAGTACAGGAATAAGAGATAACTTGATGAAAGGAGAAGAATAATAGGAGGCTAAAGATTATTTACCTTGAACTTATGTCACCTTCAGTCTAGCAGTAAGAAAAAGAAACTGCAAAGTAACTTAGTGATTTATGAAGAGTTATATCTCTCAATCACGAAACAAACACATTGGGAGGAAAAAAGAGCAGGCAGACTGGATAGTAAGACTGCCCTCTTGAGGGAGACAATACACCCACCTATACGATGAAGACTGACCACTGGGGTGGTTAAATCCATGTCTTTCATAGCAGTAAATTTCCATCAGAAGAAGAAAGTCATTGTGTCCCTAACTTTGACTTTCAGATTATGCTCCATAAATACATTTGGAAAAAAACAGAAACTTAACTGAAGGGTTAGCATAACTCAGATGTTTTAAAAATGTATTACTCAATGGCACTAAACAGTAATACTTAATTGCTTACAGCTCGTGAGAGAAAAATATCCTTTGTCAGAACATTCTGATTTAATATTTAAGAGACCACTCCATATCAAGATGATAATCTCTGCAGAATGTAAAAGGGAGAAAATTAAGAGAAGCAGGAAATTACTTTTGGAAGGAGCCCACATTTTCCTTCTGGCTTTAGGAAAAAAAGTTTATATTCCAATTAACTAAATCATTCAAGACTATATGGCTTAAGTACTACTTAAGGTGGAGTACCAAAGAAATAAGAACTCAAGTAGCAAATCATGACACCAAAACTTGTGTCTAAGTGCTTACTTATTATTAGCTTAATGAAGATCAGGATTTAGACTCACAAAATTAGTCAGAGACCTTCTTGTTTAACTATGTAATGAACTGTCCAAGCTGGGACACTTTTGAGTGAAAAATAGAAATATTAATAATTAAGCTATTTTATTTCTCTGGCTGGTCAACATGGAATAAATTGACTATGATATCTCTCTCTAACCAGTTACAACAACAACAAAAAATCTGGTCAGAATACAATGAACAACTGACTAAAGACTCAGAAAAGTAAACAATGATAGGCAAACTGGGAACTAGTCAACTTGATTAACAATCTGCAAGATGAATTTCAGTTCCATTATTCCCTCCTTTGTCTCCTGGCTTTGATTTGTGGATGAAATGTTCAGCAGTTGGTCGGTCACAGTGGCTCACGCCCATAAACCCAGCACTTTGGGAAGCCAAGGGGAGAGGACTGCCTGAGCCCACAGGTTCAAGACCAGCCGGGGCAACTTGGCCAGATCTCATCTCTACAATAAATAAATAAATAATTAGCTGGACTATGGTGGTGCGTGCCTGTAGTTTCAGCTACTTAGAAGGCTGAGGTGGAAGGATCACCTGAGCCCAGCAGGTTGAGGCTGCAGTGGCCATAAGTGTGCCACTGTACTCCAGCCTGAGTGACAGAGTGAGACTCCAACTCAAAAAAAAAAAAAAAAAAGAAATGACCAGCTGTCTAGCAGGCACAGGAAGCAAAAAGCAAAACTTCTGGGAGAAGTTTTCTCATAGAGGTTGCCAGTGGGCAGAGAGTTAGAATACAAAGCAGTAGCAAGATCAAATTGTTTCGTATCTTGATCAGAGTTATGGTAAAAGTAGTTCATACATTTTCAAAACCTAGAATTTTTCTGTATATAAATTTATGAATTATTTAAAAGACTATTAAGCCAAGAGAACGGGGTAAATCAGAACTGTTCCATGTTCAGGTTCACCCCCTCAAAAGCCACTGGACAAGTAACTGTTCATCTCTTTGAAATAGTCTAACCCTTTTTTTTTTGGTCCTTTTTTTTTGAGTTGCAGTCTCACTCTGTCGCACAGTCTGGAGTGCAGTGGCACACTCACCACCACCCCAGTGTCAACCTCCTGGGCCCCAGTGATCCTTCCACCTCAGCCTTCTAAGAAGGCAGAATAAACAGGCACACACTACCACATATGGCTCATTTTTTATTTATGTAGAGGTGAGGTCTCACCAAGTTGCCCAGGCTGGTTTTGAACCCGTGGGTTCAGGCAATCCACTTATCTTGGTCTCCCAAAGTGCTGGCATTACAGGCTGAGCCACTGAGCCCAGCCTTCTAGCCCTTTTTAATTAGTCCTGGATTTATTTTGGAATATATCTCAAATATTGCCAGTAAAAGTAGGGCAGGAAAACACTGAATGAAATGACTCTGTGTGTTCTTCTGGTTCATGTTATTTATTAATCACCAATGCTTAAGAAACTAACCTAAAATCTATCAGTTAGGGTATCTAGAAATAAAAGCAAAGAGAATGAATGAAAGAAAAAGAGAAAATGGAATAAAGAAATAACTATTTCAAACATTAAGATTAGATTTGAAAACTAATCCACTTATAATATTTACAACAGAATAAAAGAATTTCATAGATATGATAATGGAGTGCAAAGGGGAAAATCTGGAACTGAATTCTGTTCACACTTACTAAAAAGGTATGTAGTTTATACTACTTATTTCTCAGTTTTCACTAATATAACTGAGAAAATAAGTTATTCTGCAACCCTGGGATATGATAAAAAATAACTATAGAGCAAAGATTTAAAAATGTTTAACAAATTATAAAATGTACACGCTGTTTTTGTAAACTTTCACTTGGTAACTATGCTGGGGCAGTGGGAACAGGGTCAAGGTAGAAACACTGAGGTAAAATGTGGTTTTATTCCTGACAATATTCTCACTGCCTGAGCGAAATAATAATACAGAATTGGGAGGTGGGCTCAACTGAAAGCTGCTTAAGGAAGCACACTGACTCATTGTGAGGCTCAGGTTCGGAACCCCTACAATCCAGAACAGGGTTATTTAACAGTGGTACTACTGACATTTTGGGTCAGATAATTCTTTCCTGGGGAGGGGAGGGCTGCATTGCAGGCTGTTGAACAGCATCCCTGCCTTTACCCACTACACGCCAGCAGCAACCACTCTCCCCCACACCCTGCCCACCCCCTGGTAAGGACAACCAAAAAGTCCCATGGAGACACTAATTGAGAATAACCAGAGGGAGGTATTAACAGGGTATAAAAGTAGATGCTATATGTGTGTCCAGTACACCTTTTCAGGGCCAAGTGCCCTATATGGGAATCTGAGAAGGTTAACACTGGTGGTTTATAGTTGAGTCCCTCTTCAGGAATTGTCCAGGTCCAAGGGCACTGCCTTACTCAAGGTTATGCCCCTTCCAGTGACTGGCTGACTGTGCTGAGGGAGGCTTTCATATGGGACAACTGTAAAGGACCATTCTAGTTCCAAAGTTCCTCACAGACTAGACTAAGGCATCTGTAAATGTATCATAGTTCAACTTTTCCCTCTAGCCATTGCTACTGTCGTCCTTTCCTTACAAATGATGTTCTCAAGAATACTCCCAATAGGCCCCAGTTCACGAATCTCTGCCTTAGAGTTTGTTTACTAGGAAAGCCAACCTAAGGGTAATAAAGTAATGAGTCTGTTCTATTTGTAGTATATATGTTATTTAATTTTAAGTAAAAATGGGACATTTACTAGATGAATAAGAGTAGAAAGACATATAAAAGAACAGAAAGGAGAGCTGATGAAAATGACAAAAATAAACACCCTGTAATTACAAAACCAAACTAACCAACATGCTATTGTATAAAGAATTAATAATAGTAACAGTTAACAATTTCTGGGTATTCACTAAGTGCCATGCACTATGCTAAGTGCTTTATACATTATTTGTTTGATACCCTCAACCATACTATAAAGTAGGAATTATTATTCCCATTTTATAGATGAGGAAATTGAGACCCAAAGAAATTAAGTCCCTAGCCTAAGGTCACACAAGTAAGTGGTAAGAGCTAAGAAACAAAACCTATTTCAGGGTTTGTGTGCTTTATCTAGATTATGTCCACAGCCTCCTAACAAGGTCTCCTACTCTATTTTAAATCATTCTCTAATTCATTCTTCATATTGTTGCTAAAAAGATGTTTCTAAAATATAGCTCTGACCATACCTTCTCAACTTAGAACCTTTTCTCCTTGACCTTTTGGATAAAGTTCAAACTCCTTAACATGGCATTTAAACTACAAGGTTTTTCATGATCTGACTCCTGACTATCTCTACAGCCTTTCCCCTGACTCTCCAACTGACCTCTGATGTCTCCTGTGAATGCTTTCTAATATAGCTGTATAAATGTTTATACAACTATTGCAAATGTTTATACAACTATAAAGATGTTTTATTTATTTTCCTAGCAAATAAGATCTACTGTTTACTGAGTCTGCTTATGTTCCAGATCCTGTACTAGGCACTTTATTTTATATACATGATTTACTACTCATAACACTCTTATGAAATAAGTATAATTATTCTCATTTTATAGTTGGGACTCTAAAGATTATGAAAGTTAGCTAATGACAGAGCTGGGATATAAACTGAAATCTGACTCTTATACTTTATAAACTATGACACTAAAGGTATTCAATAAGTGTTAATTAAATTAAGTAGTTATCGGCCAGGCATGGTGGTTCATGCCTGTAATCTCAGTACTTTGGGAGGCTGAGGAGGCGAGAGGATTGCCTGAGTCTGTGGGTTCGAGACTAGCCTGGGCAACGTGGTGAGACCTCATCTACTGCACTCTAGCCTGGGCGACAGAGTGAGACTCCAACTCAAAAAAAAAAAAAAAAAGAAAAAGAAAAAGAAAAATTAAGAAATTTTCCATCATTTTCATTTTTTGCATACCTGTAATGCATAGCTGTTCAAGATAAAAATACACGCAGAAGAATTTTAAAGTCACAGATACCTGGTATTTAAAAATTTGTATACCTACCTGCATGAGATCTTGAAGGCTCTCAATAAATGAAATCTCTGCTTCTACCATATAAAACTCTGCCAGGTGTCTACGGCTCTGAGAATTTTCAGCTCGGAATGTTGGACCAAAGGTAAACACTTGAGTAAAAGCTCTGCAATTCAAGATTAAGAGTATAAAAATAGGATTCACATGATTACTTTTAAGTATTTAAAACACTCAGTGAGCTCCTAAGGGAAAAAAAGTTAGTGGCTCTGTCTTGTCCACAAACTCACACATATTTGCTACTGTATTTCTCTAATGGGTGATAATAATAGTTTCATTAAAAAATGTTACATTTATAGAACCATTTTTATCCTGAAGGAATTTGCAACTGCTTCACAAGCCCTATGGTTTACTAAATATAGAAACATAACCACTTCTGGGTGTACTTTGCTGCAGCTGCCTTAAACAACACGCAACTACATTTCACAGCAATCAAGAACAAAGTAAAGAAAAAATACCACAGTCCAAGAAACCACACAGAGAATCTAGATAGTAAGAGGGAAAACTAGAATTTCATGTGGATAAGGTGTACTCATGAAAAAAAAGTCAGATATGTACACAATTCACCTTGCTCAAAGCCTACCCGAATCTTTCACAACCACCTAAATCTGCCCTCACCCCCTAAAATGTGGGGGTGAGGGCAGATTTTTGAGGAGCTGTCTACTTTATTCTCTGGTTTTTATTCACTGGATTTCAAGGGCTACAGTTAAACCATCCAATGGAAAAAAAAAAGAGGTCAGGCATGGTAGCTCATGCTTATAACCCCAGCACTTTGGGAGACAGAGGTGAGAGGACTTGCCTGAGCCCAGGGGTTCGAGACCAGCCTGGGTAACTTAGCAAGACAGTTGTCTCTACAATACATCAAAAAATTAGCCAGGTGTGGTGGCGCACGCATGTGGTTTCAGCTACCTGGAAGGCTGAGGCAGAAGGATCACCTGAGCCTAGCAGGTTAGGTCTGTGGTGGCTGTGATTGTGCCACTGAACTCCATCGAGCCTGGGCAACCGAGTGAAACTCTGACTCAAACAAAAACAAAAACCTTAATTTTTTTTTTTTTTGAGTCACAGTCTTACTCTGTTGCTCATGCTGGAGTACAGTAGCATGCTCATGGCCATCACAACCTTGAACTGCTGGACTCAGGTGATCCTTCTGCCTCAGTTTTTCCAAGTTCCTACCAAAAAGTAGACACTACACCTTCATTCCTTAACACTTATCGTCTCCCTCAAATTCAAATAGGACAACACATGAGATTTAGATCAAGTATGTATGAAGTAGTGAATTTTTCTTGAGGACTTAATTTTTAAACTTTAAGGTTTTGCTAGAACAAAGTAGGCCTCTTGGGGATCCTTAGAAATGATCTTTTTTAAAAAAAATAATTAATCAGTATTTTTTATTATGGTTTTGTGGGGTACAGTTAAGGGTTAGGTGTACAATTACGTTTCATTCAGGCACCCTGTTGATAAGAGGTGTTTTCCCAGACCCAGACAGATATTTGCTACTGTTAATCCCATCCCCCTCCCCCCCATAGTTTCCCAGTACCGTCAGTCATTTTCTTATAGTATTACATTGGATGTTCAAGGTCCATTATATGAGTGAGAACATGTGATATTCTGATCTTTGTTTCTGTGAGAGGTCACTCAGTATTATAGACTCTAGTTCCATCCAGGTTGCTGCTAGAAATGATCTTGAGCACTCTTCATTTGTCTGTCACTAGACAAATGACAATATGATCAGAAAACTTGGTGCAGAAAATAGATGGATTTTGCATATATACTAGTTTTGTTTTTGGTAAAGATACTCTGGGAAATAAAACAGTAAATTAACTGTAGTGGAAACCAAGAGATGTATTTTTTTTTCAAATGGCCATTTCACTTAAGACTCAAATGGCAAGAAGTTTAGGAATTTATGTGTTGGTTCTAGAGCCACCTTCCTAAGACCATTACAGAAATTTAGTTTTTAATGAAAAAATAAGCACTAGAAACTCATCAACTTTACTATAGGTACCTCATTCCCAAGATTCAGATCCAGACTGCCTACTACAATGTTCCTGAAAAGACTGAACCTACCTTACACAAAATGAAAGCTCTTGCCCTGGTCCCCAAAACAAAAGTCAAAATAATGAACAATCCTGCCTTTCTTTTTATATTTCCCCCAGCTCTGTTAATTCCAGTTAATTCACCTAGTCACCCATGCCGAACTCCACACTCCCCACTGCCCATGTCCCATGTTATATTGATCGATCACAAATTCAATGATTTATACCTCTCTGAAATCTACTGACTCTTCTATCTCCACAGCTACTGTCAGTGTAAACCCCTGTCTCTTACTTGAAAACAATAGCTTTTTAACTGATGCCTGCCACTTTTCTCCAGTCCCAAACTACTACAGGTCTTCAAACTCAAATCTGATTATGTCAGCCTTAATTTAAACATCTTCAATGATCTTCAACCTCAGCCAAGGGACAAAACTCTAACTCCTAATTTTGACTCAGTTTTCTCACTCACACCTGTTCTCCTGCCACTCTGAAGACATTCTCCTAACCTAGCTGGCCCCTGCATGACTTTAGGTCATGCATGGGCTGTTTCCTACTCTGTAATGCCCCCTTTCCTGCTTCTCTCTCCAACTGGAATGTCACTTCCTCTTTGAAATGTTAACATTCCCCCCAAATATTCTCTCCCACATATTACTATAAGACTTTGCTCATATATTTGTTATATAGAACATATAACATTGAGATATAATTATATATTTAAGTATGTTTCTCCCCCAATAAACTATGACACTTTTTCAGGACAGAAATCATGTTTTATTCATAATTGCATCTCTAGTGCCTAAGATAAAACAGGTGCTTATGCTGAATAAATGAGTACTAATGATGACGACAGGCTTCTCAGTTGTAAACTGAAAAAACACAACATCCTCACAAACAGTTTTATAAATATATAAAAATACTCAGATATGTTTTACCAAGACTGTTACTCAGGGCCTAAAATCGGTACCTAAAATGGGCCAAACAATCCAGGTCTGACTCAAATAATAAAGTCAAAAAATATAAGGCCCTGAGTTTCCAATCTGTGCTATGCCATCTCTAGGTTTTTCTTTGTTTTTGTTTTTTTGCGTTGGAGTCTCACTCTGTTGCCCAGGCTGGAGTGCAATGGCACACTCACGGCCACTGCAGCTTCAACCTGCTGAGCTCAGACAATCCTTCCACCTCAGCCTTCCAAGTAGGTGGAACTATAGGCAGGCACCACCACGCCTCACTAATCTCTAGGCATTTTGTTTATCTAAATAAATGATATTTCCTTCTTGTACAGCATCACAAGAAATTGTATATATAGATGCTAACTAACATTAAGGAGTATTTTATTGAAATCTTCCGGAACACAAACACATTCTGTAGCATAGATTATTTTAAGGGCTCTGAAATATAAGGAAGGCCAATAGGATTGCTGTGCAAAAGAGATGTGCTATTTGTATCAAGGTACAAGGTACAGAGAAAACTGGTTTCTAACAAGGATTGCAAATTTGAATCAGAAGGGCATCTGCTTCTAACATGGCAATTCTATGTAGGATGCTCTGTGATGAGTAGCAACGGGGATTTGAGGTTAATGATTTTCCCTAGCAATGCAGGGCAAGTTCTCTAGTACAAAATGTAGAGGATCAATAATTTTTATTTTAATTATAATAAGGATCAGGCTCTGATTGAGACACCTAAGAGTTAAGTATCATTCTAATAGAGTACGTGATGACTATAGTGCTTTCTCTGAAATAACAGAAAGATACAATGAGCTAGAAGGTATGTTGAGAATTGCCTAATACAGCATCCAGTCTTTAAGCAAATTAATGTTTAAATCATTCAATAATGATCATCCTATTTCAGTCTCCAGTGTTCTATTATAAATGATAGTAGCAGTAGTTAACAACAGTGGCTAACATCAGGGAGTGAACCTTGTGGGCCAGGCATTAAATGTAAGAACTTTAGAGTTAACTTCTTTATATTTAACTCAATAAAGTATGTATTATTACAGGTATGTTCCAGAAAAAGAAACAAAAGTTTCTTTTGTTTCCCAAAAGTCACAGCCATAGTTTCGGAAGTAGTGAAAGCCAGATTCAAATCCAGATCTGACTCTAATGCTCACAGCCTTAACCATGATTTAACAATAATGATACTCATAACTAAATTTTTTTTTTTTTTTTTGAGTTGGAGTCTCACTCTGTCGCCTAGACTGGAGTGCAGTGGCCGCTCCCGGCCACCTCAGCCTCGACCTGCTGGGCTCCGGCGATCCTTCCGCCTCAGCCTTCCAAGTAGCCGGAATTACAGGCATGTGCTACCACGCCCGGCTGATTTTTTGATTTATTGTAGAGATGAGGTCTCACTGCCCAGGCGGGTCTCGAATCCGCGGGCTCAGGCAATCCACTCACCTCAGCCTATAACTAAATATTTACGCACTCAGAAAACTAGAAAGTTTTTTTAGTACATTCTCTGTCCTCAAAAATAACTAGAGTAAGTAAAAGTTTGGTATATTTTCCTTTCTTATGTATAGTTGGTTTTACGTGTTAAAATCATAACTCTAGAATATGTTGAGTCAGTCTCACTCTGTCACCCAGACTGGAGTGCAGTGGCACGATAACAACTAAACATTGTCTTGACCTCCTGGGCTCTGGCAATCCTTCCACCTCAGCCTCTAGAGTAGCTAGGACTACAAGCACAAGTCACTACAGCCAGCTAATTTTTCTGATATTTTGTGATATTATGTTGCTCAGGCTGGTCTCAAACTCCTGGGTTTAAATGAACCGCCTGCCTCAGCCTCCCAAAGTGAGCCACTATGCCTTGCCAGTATTTTATAATCTTTAGCAAGTCATTTAGCCTTTCTGGTCTTTAATTTCTTACAGGAGTTGGAATTGGGAGCAACTTGGCATTGATCTATAATAGCTTTTGTAATAATTCTGTCTCCAGATCCATAAGAAATCACATCTATTATTTTTTTTTTTTTTTTGAGTTGGAGTCTCACTCTGCTGTCCAGGCTGGAGTGCAGTGGCATGCTCGTGGCCACCACAGCCTTGACATGTTGGGCTCTGGTGATTCTTCTGCCTCAGCTTTCCAAGTAGCT